ATCTCTAAACTGTCCTCTTAAGAAACTTGGTAGATTTACAAAAATAAGAAGCTTTCATTATGCACTGCAGCTGACTAAACAATTATTATCTGAAACTTTATTCTTGGGATACTTAATTGAGCCTAGAGCATGAGGAATCCGATTATGACCATTATCTTGTTCTACTTTAGAGAGGAAATCGGTATCACCATACAGTGCCCTACATTAGGGTATATACAGTACCATGGAGTATGGACTGAGAGCTGCTGAAGTAGGCTGTTTTTCCATTTGAAGAAGGTAGTGGGGGAGGTGGGAAGGGCAATGTCCAAAGCAGCAGTAAACTTGGGTGGGAGGGCTGGAGGTAGGTCTCTCCCCGTATATAACCTGTCATCTATGAGCAGCACTTTCCCCAGCTGTCTGATGGTGTTCATGAGAAGGCAGTGCCAGCCTGTGGCTCTGCTTTTGAGAACAGAGTACTGGCAAATGAAAAATGATTCTGGCACTGACTTCTCTGTCTGCCTTGGTGTTTGTTACTGGAGTGTGCATCTGCACACAGTGAGTATAGATTTCACTGGTAGATACAGCATCTTGTATGATTGTTAGGATGTCCTCCCTAGCAAGTAACATTATATCAAGCTCAAAGGGGTGATCGATTTTATGATTAGAGCACAGGCTGTAAACAACTGCAGTGCTGATGGTAGCATGTCAGCTGAAAAGTAGGGATGTAAAAAGAATAAAACATGCACAGACATGATGGTTTACATGCTCTCCAATTACACCTATCTTCGCAACTAATTCCCCCAACATGTTGTTTGTAGCAGGACTAATGAACTGTCCAAATGACTTCTAGAGTTAAAGGAACAGTGTACATTAGCAAATGTGGCACACCAAAATATAAATACAAAAGTCCTTTACTATGACGTTCAAAAAAGCATTTTTCCATGGGCTGCACCACAAACAGTATATTCCTTTAACTGGTTTCATAGTAAGAAATTAACTAACACAACCCAGAGTTGTAAGGGTACTTAGAGACTTTCCAAAGTGACTCATGATATGGGGTGCCCTTTGAAAAAGGCCTGATTTGTTTCAGACAATAGGTGCTTAGTGCTTTCTGAAAGCTAGGTCCCTGGAAGAAGTCTCTATTTGGGCTCCCATAATAAAATAAAATGGTGATAATCAATGATATAAGTACCTGAAAGAAAAAAAATTGCCCACAAGAAAATCAAGTGGAGAGCAGAATAAATGCAAATCTTTCATAGGGGAGAGAAATGTCAATCATACAAAAATACCTCAGAGATAAGGAGGATTGCCCATTATATTTTTAAAATATTCTTTAGAATCCTGAAATATCAATTATGGTGTCAGTTACACTTACGTCCCTTTCTATTCTGCTAAATCCTGCTTATTCAAGTCCTATTTAAAAATGCTTTTATTCTCCCTGTTCAGCAGGAGAAGGAGGTTAAACTTGAAAGACCCTTCAATTATATATGAAGAGGCAGATCTGCTGGCAACTTGGGGACGAGTAGCTGCATATCTGAGAGCAGATGAGCACCTCTGCTCTTCCTGCAATTACCTATTTAAAACCCAAAAGGTGCTGTGCAGTAGCACTACTGTACATTAGCTGAGGTTTTAGTTTTTGCTGAAAATAAAAAAAAATAAATCTTCCAATGAAGGTCTGTTCTTCAAACACTTCAGTAGGTTTTGCTGATCCATTCAGCAGAGCTTTTCATGTTGTTCCCTAGTTCCCTGACAATTGGCAATCTGCATCCTCCCACCTAAGTACTTTGGAGCCTAAGTTTCACTGACCATCAGTTTTACATGGACTTGTCTTTTAAACTGTCTCCAGTCTAGTACTCTACACATAAAGGAAATCGAATGATAAGACTTCTCCCTTCCTCCTCCCCTCCTCCCAACCCTACCTCCCCCAGCCAACTGCTAGTCCAGGGGTTGGCAACCTTTCAGAAGTGGTGTGTGAGTCTTCATTTATTCACTCTAATTTAAGGTTTCGCATGCCAGTAATACATTTTAACCTTTTTAGAAGGTCTCTTTCTATAAGTCTTTAATATAACACTAAACTATTGTTGTATGTAAAGTAAATAAGGTTTTAAAAATGTTTAAGAAGCTTACTTTAAAATTAAATTAAAATGCAGAGCCCCCCGGACCGGTGGCCAGGACCCGGGCAGTGTGGGTGCCACTGAAAATCAGCTCGCGTGCCGCCTTTGGCATGTGTACCATAGGTTGCCTACCCCTCTACTAGTCTCTCACCCCTGCAGAAGGGCATTAAAAATCCATTGTAAAGAGCTTACTAAATCAAGATCTCCAATCAATAGCAAAGAATAGACTGGTTTAGAAACCTATTTTAAAAATAAATTAATAAATAGTTGTATCTCAAATTGACAAGACTGGAATGGTTTTCCTTGCAACAGCTGAGCTTACAATCTAATGAACCATGCAGGAAAGATGGAGAGTGCACAGCATCTTGTATAATTGTGTTAACATAGATGGTCACATCTCAAGGTCCAAGAAAAAATTATCAATATCTTCTAGATGCATTATAATAGAAAAGTCTCCTGAGAATTATTCATTCCAGAGGTGCTTCACTTGAAGAATATACCGTATTTTTGTAGCATAATTCAAGTACTCCTAATGCTCTAGGTCAGTGATCATCTGAAGGAAGATTAAAACATGATTTTAGTGAAGTGACTCAATGTCTTGGACTAGAAAAGGTGTCTCAGATATACTAGCTGAACTGAACAAGCAAACTAACTCTCTAGCTCCCAAACTGTGGAGAAAGCGGCAAGGGGATACCAGAGGCCAAAACTATAGTAGCAGAAAAGAGATCAAAATAGCATGGAATAGCTCATGGAATTGTTAGATCCCCTTCATGGTAACTGTCCTTTAAACAAAGACAGCAGCGTACAGCTTCACATCCTTCAAGACTTATAGAAGAGCTCCATGAAGCTCGAAAGCTTGTCCCTTCCACCAACAGAAGTTGGTCCAATAAAAGATATGACCTCACCTACCTTGTCACCCTTCAAGCTAGTCACCCAGCTCATTCAGCCACACACAGCAGAACACACTGCCTCCTAGCCCCTGCTAGCCCAAAGAGTGAGTGAACCTTGTATCCCATATCATACAGCCACAACACTACCAATTCAGTATAAAATATTGCCACAGATAGAGGACTTTGGATGGCTTGAAATGTGGTGACCTCTGTATTTCACAAATAGTACTCTTTTAAGAGAATATGTCTTCATCACAAGCTTGCCCCAGTCGCTGCACTGTGTGGTAGAAGAAATGGAGTCTCATGACACAAGTTACAGACATTCTGCTTTTGATTTTGATGCCTGGTGCCTCTTTGTTTTCTGTGGGGCCTGTGTTGGGCTGTTCCTGTGATGTCCCCTCTCTAGCTTCACTAGATCACAGTTTCCCTGTTGCTGGCCTCTTTTCCCTTCTGTCTGTAATCATACCAGTCTGTAATAAATGCCTAACGCTTCCTACAGCTTCACAGTGCATTACTGAGCCTATGTTTTAAATTGGCAGACTTTAACACAGTGGTAGCATGCAAAACAGATGAATGTCAATACATATTCATGCCACGGGCTAATAATGCAGCAGTGGAAACACAAGAAAGATCAACATTCCATCCAGTTCTGTGTTCTCTCCTTGACAGGAACATCTACTGAATGCTGCAGAAAAAGGTGAAAATGCCTAAATGTGTAGCTGTGTGGTATGTTTGTGTTGAGTTGGTGGGGAATTTCTTTCTCGTTGCAGCTGATGATCAGCTCATGCACTGAAGCACAAAGATTGGTAGCTGATGTAAATCTTATCCTAGCTTGTATAACTGCAGGTAAAGCAGTGGAGTGTATCCATCCTTTGTGCAGTTTTTGGTCCAATTGATATAGCGTGAGGACATGAAGGAGCTTAGCTTGTTGGAACATAACACAGTTTTAGGAACAGGAAAAATTATTTTGTCCTAACAAGCCTGCTACATTTTATGTAACTTTCAGCCCACATTCTTGCAGTAAAAGTCCAGATTCCAAATTCTAAATTCATGCCTATTCTTTGCTGTGGTGGCCTCCTATGGCAATGTTTGCCATTTGTTTAGCACTCATTGAGTGAAAATGTTCTGCTTGCAGATCCTATTTTCTCTCAATCATTAAAAAGTTAGTCAAGATAATTTACTCTTATACACCTTGTTCAGAGTCTGGAGGGCCTCCCACTAGGTCACCTCCAAATCTCTGCCTACTGGAGGCATCAGAACCATACTTTTATTTCCAGATTTCAGTCTCTAACTGTTTTTCCAATAGGCACCATGAACTTCTCTCTCAGCCAGGTCTGCACATATTGGGACTCTTAGGTGAAGGCACGTGTGACTGAATACACACCTCATGCCATATTCTCTTAATGGAATATATGCTTCTCCACAGTGGCAGCTGTCTAGGGTAGAATGTGCATCATCTGTTTAAATATCTGCCTTCCGATTTATATGCAATGTGTATATGCAATAATAATTTCAGAGAAAATGCCTCACACTTTGCAACCTTAGGGTTTTTAAATTAGCAGGGAAAGTTCTTGGCCTCAAGAAGCACATTTTGCCCCCATAGAATTGAAGGACTGATTATGCCACTGCTCCCAGAAGAGAAAATTAACAACAGAATGAAAAACAAATCTCATTAGGAATTCAAGTAGCCTAGTCCTTTCTCAAGATTATCTGTTTTAGAGGAGGCATATGCGGTTTGGCTGTGGGTCTGTTTAGGTCTAGGAGTGCTTAGCTTCAGACGTAGTGCTGGCAGTTGCTTCTACCACTTTGGCACACCCAAGCTGATCTTACTTGCCTCTCACATTGAAAGCCTTGAGATGTAACTATGGAGTGCAACTGAGAATGAGATTAGTAAGGTAGAGAGCAAGGGGGGTTATTTGACAGCCCCATTTGGGGGTGGAGGAGGAGGGGAAATTGAACACTGGGAGAAGGGGGGCGGGGCTTGGCTGCTGTCACCAAAAGTGTAACCTAGCAACCTGAACACAATCAGGCACGAAGTAAACAGACTTTTTAACACAAGTGAGGTAATTTTGCACTTCTCCCTCCAGACCGTGGGAGCAAAGGGGACTCATTCACCAAGCTATGGTAGCCGTGTAAACAGTGAGTAGGTCCTTTATATATATGTATTTAATAACAGGTACATTTCTGGCTTTTACGGCTTTCTTTGTTCAAATACCAGAGTCCCAACTTTCCCTTTGAAACAGCAGCCCTCTGAAATGTAGGAAGCTGGGGAGAAGGAGCTTCTAGCAAGTAGCCCTGATTTATGCAAATATGTATGAACAAGCTATGTCCCAGACCACATCTGTGTGAAAAGAAATGTACACTTGCACATAAAATAGCTGGGATGGACAGGTAGGTAGCTTCCGAATTCCCAAAGTCTGAGACTTAAGTGCTGCTGCTTTTATAGCCCTCATGTTTTAGTGTCCACTCCCCCACATTACCTTGGTTATTACTGTTTGTGTTTTTCTCATCTCATACCTGAGTCTATGAGGTACTCAGTACTCTCAACTCCCATTGGCTTCAGAAGGGGTTGAGGGTGCTCAGCATTTTGCAAGGTCAGGCTAGTTTTGTTTCTTGGATCTGACTATATACATGATTAGCAGAGTCTCTGCTGGCATTATTTTATGTATTTATTTATTTGCATTGCCATTGTACCTGGAGACCCCAACCAAGATCAGAACCCCATTGTGCTAGTCGCTGTACATAAATGTAGAATGAACCAGTCTCTGCTCTGAATAGCTTACAATCTATATAAACAGATAAGATAAACAAATGATGGGAGAATATAAGTACCATTATCTTCATTTTACAGTGGAGGAATTGAAGCATAGAGAGATTAAGTGTCTTGCCCCAGGTCACACAAGAGATCTGTGGAACAGCAAGGATTTGAATCTAGCTCTGCTAAATTGCAGTCTACCTGCTTAATCACAAGACCATCCTTCCTGTGCCTTCTGGGTATACTACTATTAGGAAGGTTTCATCTGAATTAAAAAAATACATTTTTAGGGAGTTTTCAAAGAGTTATAGAAATGAGGGGGTGAAAAGATGTATTAGGTCATCTAATTAAAGTACAACATATACCAATCCTGTACACCTCAGCTGGGAAACCAACTATACGTATACATACCACAACTTTGATTCATACGGTAGATGCATCACAAAAGTGAAACTGCCACAAGTCTGTTTCACAAGGGGAAGAACCAGCCCCAGTTACTGGGGGGATGACTATTTTCAGAGGATTTATTTAAATGAACTTTAAATAACTCACAGTGACTTGTTAAGGTGTCATCTGTCTGATGACTGGTGAGGGCTGGCTGGACTTCTTAAGGCACCCTGTTTACATGTGACTGCATTGTTGGGGTGCTGCTGAATATGCTGAATATGTATCATAATCTCCTCCTAGTCCTGGTCACTGAGATCCACACTACAGGTTTGCAAAATACTTCTTTAAATTTCCTTTGCTCGCTGCCCCAGCTGCCTCTTCAGCACCAGCCGTTCTTTAGAATTAGCATGGGGGTGGCAAGGTGGATGGTTTGGCCTAGGTATGGCATGGACAAAATAGCTTTCAGGCAGATATTCAGGCACTGGCCTTTAAAAAGCTGTAATTTCTAAACTAAAGGAATGTTTAAGCAAATACAGATAAACTGTATGTCAATGATCTCCCCAGTGGGCTCCACTTTAGTTCCATTTGAAATGGTGAATTATGAAGCAGAAGGTAGAGGGAAATGATAGCACCTAAAGCTTCTTCTTGTGATTTGTTCTGCCCTTTATTAACACGTGTGGAGTGTTTGAAACCTATGCCCAGGGGTACTGAGCAATGAATCCCACTAATCCCTGCTAAGCACCAACCCACACCCTGGGCCTGCTGTGTGATTTAGGGATTCATTATGCAGACACAAGGTGACCAGTGTCATGTGGGTCTTTTTCACTTCCCATTGGTTCCTGAGGGAACCCATTAAAGCTCTGAGGGAGTACCTCTTTGTTTCTATTTGTAAATGCTACTTCAGGAAGCACCTGCCAACACAATGTGGTATAATAATACTTCCCCCTTATAGAACGCTTTATAAACATTCACTGATCCTCACAACACCCCTGTGAGGTAGGTATTGTTAGCCCCATTTTACAGGTGAGGAAACTGACACAAAGAGAGGTCAATGGTTTGAGTGATGTGAGAGCTCAACACCTCTCAGACCATGGTATAAGTGAATTTAGGAACTGAATGTACCTTAAATTATAGCAATTGTGAGAAGAAAGATTCGGTCTCCCCATACAATAGATGGAGAGTGTGTTCATAGGTGTGTATAGTACATGTGCATAGAATCCATGTGTCTAAATTCCCAACTGGACTGTGCAGCTACGGATGCTAGAATAATCACCAACTTTTCTGTATTGTCATAGAATCACTAAAATGGCAACAGAGATAAAGAACTTGGAACTTGTTCTTCAGCAGCTGGAGTAAGTACCCAAGTGCCATTCCCTACATTTGGAAGAAACACCTAAGCAGCAATGCCCATGAGTGAGCTGGTGGGAAAGCAGCAGCTTGTACCCACGCAAACAGTAACTGAGGCTGATGGGGCTGCTGACTAAAAATGGTCATACGGGGTGGTGATGGGTTACTCATTGCTGACAAAGAGGGAAGCCTGCTGAGCCCATCTCCATCAGGCAGAGAAAAAAAAACATTCTGCTTGGAGTTTAGAGTATTAGCTTTCTAGCTTATAAAGCTGCACACACCAGGTGTCCTGTGCAGTGACGTAAGCAGAGCTCAAGTTACATTGTGCGGTAACAACACTGAGTGACACACCATTAAAAAGTCTGGTTTTGGTTTTCATTTTGAAACCATGGGTGAATAACTACAGAGGCAGCATCCTTTCCCAGGACTAAACCTGGGTGAATCGTTCATAACAAATAATTCACAATGAATTTCACCTTGTTTTCTGTTCCCACTTTGTTTGCAAAAAGAGAACATTTTTCTGACCTATATTTGCGGTATGAAATTATTCACTGACAGGTTTCAGAGGAACAGCCGTGTTAGTCTGTATTCGCAAAAAGAAAAGGAGTACTTGTGGCACCTTAGAGACTAACCAATTTATTTGAGCATGAGCTTTCGTGAGCTAGCTCACGAAAGCTCATGCTCAAATAAATTGGTTAGTCTCTAAGGTGCCACAAGTACTCCTTTTCATTATTCACTGAGTAATTTCTGCTGATAATCCTTGGTCTGTGGCTTGTTTATGAGCAGTTTGCTGGGGATGTTCAGTGCATTGAGAGTAAGCTGTCCAGGGCTGGATTCTCTATATTTCAGCTGGCCCTTTAACGCTGCCCTTGGGTCAAAGAAGGCATAACAGGATTACTGGGGATTCCCCTTTTGTAGGTGAATTCCAGGCTGGTATAGAGCCAAGTAGCCTGTTGTAGGCCACCTCTTCATGCCCTGCTCCAAAGATAGGGGGCACATCAGGGAGAAGAGACATGTTGGGGTAATTCTCAGACAGCAGAACGGCCATCTATGGGGCTATTATAGCTAGGGTAGGTTACAACAACCTGAGGCTGTTCTTATACTTACAGCAGGGGATGAACTGTCCCCTGGCTGCCCCCAGCCTCAGTGGGCTGCAAAGGTGTTTCTAAACCACCTTTTTCCCAATACCCCAAGTCTTGCCCATAGTACATAGATTGGACTGATTGGATGAGCACAATGCTTAGAATCAGGTTTCTGGTGCTAATACTCATACTAATGAATTCAAATTCACTTTCTACAAGAGTTGCCTGAAAACATGCCATTTCTACAAACATGCCTGTCAATCAACTTGTATTCATGTAATGCAAACACAGAAGGGCTCTCAATGAATATTCAGGCAAAATTCAGCACTCACTCAGCTCTACTCAGCAGTTAACAGCCCCCGTTTGAAATACTGCCTGGGCCTGCAAATCACTTCCAAAGAAACCTTCCCTGCACATCATTCTCCTGCTGCAACAGAGAGCATTTTGAAAACTTTGTTCCTGCCAAAGCATAGAGCACTCTGACACGCAGTGGGCTGCCATGGGGAAGTATGTGGGGAGTCCTAAAATGGTCTTTTTTTGTAGCACTTCAGAAGGATCAGCGCCGAGTTAAGATGATCATGAGGAAAAATCAGAACCCACATATTCCTAGGTCTCCTCTGGTTCTGATCTAGGAAACAGAACACTGAGCCAGACACTCAAGCAAAATATGATGATTTTTTTCTAGCTAAGAAACGCAGTGAAGCATGAGCATGATGCTACAATGGCTCCTGCTCCTCATATTAGCATTGATGCTAATAATGCTGGGAGTCATCTGGTGAAACGCCGGCTAACGATCCTCTGAGTGGAGGAGTTTTTGTCAGGCTTGAGAATGTGATCTCAGTGCTGTGGTAAAGCTGAGCTCCTAACCTTGCCTGTCTCAGCAGATGACAGATCAGAAAGCCATGACTCTGAGTCACCCGTCAAAGCTGCCAGCTGGGGCAGTTCTCAGTTGTTTTCATGGGGGTTTCCCTCAGAAGGCTCCTTTTTCTGTATGTCAACAGAAACATGGGAGTCTGTGTGGGCTTGCTTCTCAGCTTACACATTCATGTGCGCTCTTGCTGGCCTACCAGGTAACAACAAAGTGTTCCCATAAATACAGAACAGACCTGTTCAACACAGGGAGCAAACTATCCTATCAGCTTCTCTTCACTCAGGTATTTCATTCAAGCTATTTTTCCTCAGTAAATTTGTCTAGAGCATTAAGTGCATTTCAGGTGGGTATGAAATTCAGATCCAAGGTTTCCCCTTCTGTAAATGAAACATTCTAACAAAGTCTGCTCCGGTGTCAATAAGGGAGAGGATTCCCTCAGTTTGCCGCAATCCCTTGGGATGTGAAGGAAAAGAATAAGTGATAGTGGATCTCTCTGCCTGGTCAGAATGGATTTGGGGTGAAATCCCTGAGAGGAAGATAACCTGCACTGGAGTTTGATGCCTACTTGGAATGGATTCTCACTCTGCCTTTCATGAACCTGACTAGTACCTAAGATACAGACATTTTCATAAAATGTGATTGCATGCTGATACGTGGTTTTCTTCTCTTTTTCTCCAAGAACCAAGTGTATATCTGCTAAGGAGAAGATGGAGATGCTAAGGAGCCCAGTTGCTGGTCCATTCAAAGGACAAGACATCACAGCATTAGCAGGAAAACTCAAACACGTGGCTCTAAACACACCACTGCGGTTTAGTATGGAGGCCATGAGACCCCAGTCAAAGAACAACTCTCGCTTTGGCAACCTAAGCCACCATTCCTTCTTCTCACGGCACAACCCCCATCCTCACCGAGTGACCCACATCCAAGGTATGGCCTTAGGATGGGGGGGGGCAGGAAACAGGAGTTGAAGGCATTAATGATGTGGCCTTTCTTTGCTGAGGAGCAGAGGTCAGATGGGATGGGAGGAAACCGAAAAATTAATGTAATGCTTCAGCACAGGCCTGATTGCAGAGTACAGTGGGATATGAGGAAAGTAGCAGAACTTTGACTGCATAATGTTTCTAGAGTAAGTGTTGCCCTGGTGATTCTTCTGAGCAGCAGTTATGATCTGAGTGAGACTCCTTAGGTTGATACCATGCATGTCTTTGCTCCATCCCAGGACCTAGTTCAGACAATCAACTACTGCATCATCTGGATAAGATAATCCCAGCTGTGTATTTCCAATGTAGGAATTTATCCCATGCCTGGCTTCCTGTTTAAAGATGATATAGGCAGTAGTAATTCATCCAAACTGTGTATTCCCTAACTAAATATAGATCTATAAACAGAGGTGCTTCAGGAATCCATTCAGTATTATTGGGGCAGGGGAGGAAAATTGATCTATGTATGCCACCACAAAATTCATGCACCTACAGATTTATTATTCAGGCAGAAAGTAACTGTAAATGCTCTGTGTTATGCAAGGTGAAAGACTATTTTCTTGTGTGCTTCTTCCATTGACAGGTTTCAGAGTAGCAGCTGTGTTAGTCTGTATTCGCAAAAAGAAAAGGAGTACTAGTGGCACCTTAGAGACTAACCAATTTATTTGAGCATAAGCTTTCGTGAGCTACAGCTCACTTCATTGGCTGTAGCTCACGAAAGCTTATGCTCAAATAAATTGGTTAGTCTCTAAGGTGCCACTAGTACTCCTTTTCTTCTTCCATTGAGTTACTAACTGATATTTACCTCTTTTCATTTTCTTTTGTAGGCTTAAATGGCGCCCCCATCTGTATGGTTAATGATGCGTGGTCTGTGCTGACTCCTTTGTCACCTCATCCAATGATAAAAGGCCAGCTTTCTACTACTGTACTGAGGGTGTCAGGGGCCCAGATGCCGATTGGAGATCCACATAGTAATCTTGTCCCCAGATTAACTGTAGGTTAGTGTGCTGCTCACACACGCGAGTACGGTAGACTGCTTGATCAGGATGCCCTGTTGGGTGGCCTTTTGTCCAATTAAGTGGAATTCCTTAATTAACAAAATTAATCATGCTGTACCTGAAATGGTTCTCAAATGACTTCCCTTGTTTTGGCTTGCTACAGGACTGGAGATAGCTCAGGTCTTACATTGACAAAAGACTGAGCCTGATTATTTTTCCTGCCCCTTTGAGCTGAAGTGGTTTTGAACCAGAGAAACATAATGCCAGGTTTCAGAGACATCATGTATTGCCACACAGCACTGGTGGAAAAGCAGCTTTGCCCTGGCAGACATCTTCCTGTGGCATACAAAAGCACCATCAGCTTCTCATTTTTACAAGGGCCAGATAGCCCTGTTTGAGAACCACTTAATCACTTGCACGTATCCCAAACATGGAATTACCATGGCAATTAAGTGATGGACAGTTAGGGCAGTGGTTAGGTTAGGGCAGTGGTTCTCAACCAGGGGTACGCATACCACTGGGGGTACTCAGAGGTTTTCCTCATCTAGATATTTGCCTACTTTTACAACAGGTGACATAAAAAGCACTAGCAAAGTCAGTACAAACTAAAATTTCATACAGACAATGACTTGTTTATACTGCTCTATCTTCTACACACTGAAATGTAAGTACAATATTTATAGTCCAATTGATTTATTGTATAATTATATGGTAAAAATGAGAAAGTAAGCAATTTTTCTGTAATAGTGTGACACTTTTGTATGTTTATGTCTGATTTTCTAAGTAAGTAATTTTTAAGGGAGGTGAAATTTGGGGTATACAAGACAAATCAGACTCCTGAAAGGGATACAGTAATCTGGAAAGGTTGAGAGCCACTGGGTTAGAGGTGTCTGCTTGTCCTTTCCCATCTTTCAGAGATATCACTGTGAGCACAGTGCCCCTTTGTTCTGCGCTCCTCAGTCTCCTGAGACTCTCCAGCAGCTTTATTTTTTGGCAATATGAAGCTAGGGGTTCTCCCTTCACTTGGAGGGCATCAGACCTCAGACATGCACAATGCTTTGGTGTTGCACCAACCACCTGGTACAACAGAATCCAAGGAGGAAGCAGTGTGTCTGATTCTGAACTGCCCATCGTGAGCAATAGGCCTCTCACCAAGATTTTAGTGCTCTCGTTTTTAGCCTTCTGTACCCCCACAGCCCTGACTCTCCCTGCAGAGCCCATAGCCCACACAGGAGGCTTTAACAGTGGAAAAGAGCAGAGATTTGAGAGATTCCCCCCTCTTCATCTTCTCATCCATCTCTGCAACACCCTCCCTCCTGTACGAGCCTCTATCTCCTTCCCACATTATACCACAAAGTTTGCACTTGGATGTTTGTGTTACCTCTAGGGCTACTCATGGTGTGAAAGATGGGAACCTTCCTTTCCACTCACTCTCATACAAAAGAGTATCACTGCTTAAGATACAGTATATCCCATAATACCTTGTAATGTATCCAGTGGTTGTAGCTACCATTTATTTGCATCTCATTTCCATCCAAGCTCTGCAGGGGAACTGTTGGCCTCATGATGAGACCCATGCAAATACCTTTCCACAGTGAAAATAGGAAGTCATGGATGCCTAGGGGGAGGAATTCAAGGTGTGGTCTATGTTCAGACTTATACAGGGTTTATAAGTGCTGTAGGAACTAAGTGATGCTACTATACTGAGCTTTCTCACATGTCTCCTATCTCACAGGTGTCTTGTCCGATGCATGGAGAGAAGAACTGCGGGAACTCGCTGCCAGAGTTAGTGCTTCCTCCTCCACTGAAATGGAGCAAAAGGAAGTGGTGAGTTTTTCATACTGCAAGCATGACACTTAGGGTTGCTTTACTCTTGAGTGTCATCTAACCAACACCTGGAATAAAATAAAGAAATGGAAGGGAGGGAGCAGAAAAACCTGAAGAGAGTTTTTCATGAGGCTGCTATATCACTACTGTAGGTCATGTGGCCCAGTCTGTTGGTGACAGCATCAAGACTTGAAGGGTCATGTGGAAATCTATTTGGAAAGATCATTTTAAATTACCTACTTACTCCTAATCTAAACAAGGCAAAATGTGCAATGGAATGTGACCCATACCCAGATCTGGAGATCCCCAAATTTTGGAGGTTGACCAAAATCTGAGCTCTGATCCAAATTTTGCAGATGATTTCTTTGCTTTTATAATGTACTGGATCATAACTTCTGGATCTCTACTATCCCATTCTCTGGGGTGTTTAATATCTGGAGCCAAAATTTGTAGTTTGAGTCTTTAACAACTACACAGAGGGGACCATGCCAAAAGGAGAAGTGGGTCAACACTAGTTTTTCACCTCTTGACACATAGGCTCAAATCTACTTTAGGGTACAGATGAAATTGGTTTCCAACTCTTGTAGAGGAACATCACAAAACAATCGCACAATGGCACAATTGTTAATCTCCAGTGGAGGGAGAATCAGGATTTACAGGATGTTGCAGGTCAAAATTAAGGAGCAAAACTGTGCGAAAGATCATGGCCGGATACAGCAGAGGTGTTTTAGGTCAGGATCGAAGGACACTGGCAGTGCTGTGGGGAGCCAGAGGTAGAATACCAATACATATTACAGGTCAGGATTGAGGTGCATATATAGCACTGCGTACAGGAAGTTTACACAACCCCTACATGCACTGTATCAGCTCCAGTGAGTGCTGTCACTCACTTTCAAGAGCAACAAATTCAGCACCCTGGATTAGCATTCTTTAATACTGGGACCTGATAATCTCAGTGTTAATTTATAAATGAATATAGCTGCATAAGGATACCTATGGGTTTAGATGCAGTGTTTGGGCTTTGACCATTCAGTTGTCTGTCTCTTCTGACAGACAGCAGTACGTGGTGCACAAGTTTCAATTTTAAATAAAACACTGTTTGCAAAATCAGTGCACAGTTCACAGCTGGAGAGAAACACACCTCCCAGGTGAGCTTTTAGTACCGCACAGTAGTTTCACTTTAACTGCAGCAGGTGCATTCATATTTTTTGCAACAGCCAAGCACCTCTTTGTTCATGTGTTGATGAAGATTTCCCCTTTCGTCACAGCCTTTTTACACTCAGTCTTGTTCTAATCATTTTATCTCCTGTGCAACTCCTGTCCCACGCTCAGCCCTCTAATCAGAAAGCATGTGTGCATTTGCATTTTAACAGGCGGAAGAGCCCCAGAGAGCAACACAGTACTCAGCAGAAACTGGGCGCCTCATCCCACCTTCTTCTCGGGCAACAACCCGCCATACGCCCCACCAGTTGTGCCGGAATAATGCAAAGAACAAAGGCAAAGATGCTGCCCTGTCTTTCCAAGGCCAAGAGCTGGTAGTAAGTAGAACATAATGAGAAAGAGTAGCTACACCTGGTACTTCCTGCTGCTCACATTCTCTGTGTGACTATTTTTCCTTTAGGACTGTCGCAGGGTAGATACACTCCATCCCGTGTGCTGGGTCAGGTATGGGAAAAAAAATGTACAGCACCCTGTTGGGTCCTGTGTTCGTGACTCTGACTATAAAACATGGTACTACGGCCTAGTGGCTGGAGTCAATAAAGCAGCTCTTCCGCTCAGGACAGCGTGGCCTAATGTCCAGAGTCAATAAAGTAACCCACATCGGTGGGATTGTGTGGCCGATTGGCCTGTTGGGAGAATGGGGCGCCACTTAGGGGTGTGTGGCATCCAGGGCAGGGCAACTCGGGCCCTCTTTGCTCCTCCATGTCCCAGCCCGGGGCCTTGGTGGTGGTGGAGGGGGTGCTCACCACCAAGCCAATGGGGATCCTCCCAAAACACTCTGACTGGTTCCACAGTTCACTCACTGCAGAAAAGTCTAAGTTCCCTGGGCTGCTTCCTATCCTTTTCTCCCTCGACGAGGCTCCACTGTCCCCACGGGTCTCTGGGGTCCTCAAGTGGCCTAGCTCCTGCCAGTGCAGTCCCTTCTCCAGGCTCATCAAGCAGCCTGAGCTGTGTGTGCTGTGGCTCTGTAACTGGGACCTGTAGCAGCTCCCTACAGAGAGCCTACATCGTCCCCCTTCAGCAGCCTGTCCAAACTGAGTTGGGCTGCTTCCTTTTATACTCTGCCTCCAGGCTGAGCATGCGCAGCAGAGTCATTGGGGCAGGGCTTCCTCAGCCTGCAAAGCACAGTTAATCCTTTCAGGGCTGGTGCGAGTAGGTACACCTCGTCACAAGGACATTCTATATGTGCACATGGTGTTTTACAGAAAATCCATCACTTCCCTTAAATAGTTTGTTACAATGGATAATCACCATCACTGTTAAAACTGTGTGCCTTATTTCTAACTTGAATTGGTCTGGCTTCAACTTCTAGCGCTTGGTTCTTGTTCTGCCTTTTTCTGTTATATTAAAATGCCACTTGGTACCTGATATTTTCTCCCCATGAAGGTACTTGTACATTGTAATCAAGTCATCTCTCAATAGTCTTTTAGATAAACTAAACAGATTGAGCTCTTAAAGACATTTTCTCTAACTTTCAAATAATTTTGTGGCTCTTTTCTGCACCCCCTTGAATTTTTCCACATCTTTTTAAAAATGTGGACACCAGAACTGGATGCAGTATTCTAATATCAGTCTCACCAATGTCATATGCAGAGGTAAAAATCACTTCCCTAATCCTACTCACTAGTCCCCTGTTTATACATCCAAAGACTGTATTAGCCATTCTTTTGTTCTTAGATGTATGACTTTGCCTTTGGCTGTATGCAAACACATTTTAGTTGAATGGGTTCATCTTACCTAGTGATCCAGATTGCTCTGCATGACTGCCTTGTTGTCATCATTATTAACCACTCCACCAATCTTTGTCATCTGCAAATTATCAGCAATAATTTGATATTTACTTTGAGATCATTAATAAAAATGTTGACTGATGATAGGTTGTAGTGGGCAGGGAATAGAGAACTGATGTGTGTAAACAATGGAAAGAGAATGAATACTGCCCTTGTAGGAGTCATTTCTTCCCTCCCTCAAGGAGACAAGTTTGTTTACTAGAAGTCGGTTTGTTTTCCACAAAACAAACCGATTTGATTTGATATTGTTTTGTTTTTAAATGGTCAAGTGCCAGCAGACAGTGCCAGGTTAATTGCAGAAAGGCAGCTGAAAGGGGTACTAAGGAGAGATATTCATGAGAATCTGCAGCAGTGCCCAAGAAACATTTTGAAGTTCATCTCCTCTGCAGGCTGGGAGGAGAATGAGAAGTTCCAGTTTAGCATGTATAGCAAGTGTGACTAGGCCTGCCCCTGTTTTGCTTGCTCTAGGCACAATAGATAGAGGGAGACAAGAGATGGTAAAAAACAACACAGAACATGGAGACATGAGTTCACTCCTAACTGATAATGTACTCTTCTGAGGTGAGTTTGCGTGCCTGTATACAAGGACAACGGTCAGAAAGGAGTGAGCATGCAGTGCACCAGAAGACTCAATGTCCAAACAAATTTAGTCCAATTTAAACACCGACTCAGTGATCAGGGCCTTATCCTAGTCTTTGTTGGTGGGGGGAGATATCTACCCTTGCACACAGTAGGCTTTGATAGATCATCCTCTACTTCTTTTATTATATTTTCAAATGTGTAGGTTAGACCCTGAGCAAGGAACAGTAACTCATAAAACTGAAAAACCACACCTGTACAGTGTCTAGATAAGCAAGGTGCCTGTGTATGCATATCCTAATGACCTCCTGTTTGTCTGTGTTCCAGGTACAATCAGTGTCACTCTGACCTGATCATGCTGTCACTTTCTACTTTGCTCTTCTGCCAACAGATTTTGGAGCTGCTGTGTCAGATCCTGCAGACAGACTCTTTGTCGGCTATTCAGCAATGGCTGCTCACAGCTGGTCAGAGGGGTGAGGAGAACCTGAAACCTCAACTTGGTGCCTGAGCCAAAGGAATAGACAGCCACTTCTATTCTCAGAGTTTGGCACCCTAATTATCTCTACTTCAGCAACCACAAGTTTATTCCCAATACACACTTTACAGCCTTTCAGGTCAACCTGAGTTTGTGGAGTATACATTTTTCTGTGAGGGGAAAATTTGCTTCTGGAGGAAAGATTTCTTTGTATGGAATCTATTAGGGTTTTCTAATGACCAGGTCTGCAGTAACTGGTGAAGAACTAAGGATATGAATTTTGCTTGGTGTTCAGGGACTCAGATGCTGTGGTGATGGGATTGGAATAGAATCTGGACAGATGGATGGCGTGCATGGCTTTCTAAAAATTGTCTCTGTTAGTCTCAGTTTTTTCTTCATTCTGTCTTTCCTGCCAGTGATTGTCTTTTGGGTTTCACTGACCGTTATTGAATATGGCCCAGCATTAGTGAAAAACTTTTTCACTAAGAGGGTGATGAAACACTGTAATGCGTTACCTAGGGAGGTGGTAGAATCTCCTTCCTTAGAGGTTTTTAAGGTCAGGCTTGACAAAGCCCTGGCTGGGATGATTTAACTGGGAATTGGTCCTGCTTCGAGCAGGGGGTTGGACTAGATGACCTTCAGGGGTCCCTTCCAACCCTGATATTCTATGATTCTATGATTCTATGATTAGAGTAAAGGACAGTTTCTATGTAAAAGTTATAGGCCAAAATTTTCAAAATAAGGCTCCTAAATCAATTACCTGATTTCCACAGGTGCTGACCTCAATGGGGGCTTCAGGTGCTCAGTACCTATGAAAGTCAGATCACTTATTAATCTGCTTAAATATGACTTTGGAGGCCTAACTTTAGGCCTTTATGTTTGAATATTTTGCTTCTGAGTTACAGGCTGCAGCTGAAGGTAATGCTGCTGCTGCTGAATTCAGGCTTCACTATTGAGTTCCAGTATAAAAATGCAGCTGTAGGAAGATAAATATTGTTGGCCAGATTATATTAATTGTATTCATTTTAAGAGTATTTGCTCTGGGTGTGTACCAATTGAGTAAGGGAAATCCCTATTTCCACAAAAAGGGAATTGTGGGAGTAGGGTGACCAAGTGTGAAAAATCGGGACGGGGGTGGGAGGTAATAGGCTCCTATATAAGAAAAAGCCCTGAATATTGGGACTGTCCCTATAAAATCAGGACATCTAGTCACCTTAAATGGGAGCCAGAGTAGCTCTTCTGTTTAAATAACATTTAATAGATGGTATAACAGACTGTTTGAAACAGAATCATAGAATATCAGGGTTGGAAGCGACCTCAGGAGGTCATCTAGTCCAATCCCCTGCTCAAAGCAGGACCAATCCCCAATTTTTGCCCCAGATCCCTAAATGGCCCCCTCAAGGATTGAACTCACAACCCTGGGTTTAGCAGGCCAATGCTCAAACCACTGAGCTATCTTAGGTAGCACAGTAGCTTGTGACTCAACGGACCTGTATTACAGCAAGAGACCATTACACATGCCACTGTTCCAAGACCAGGGTATCACTGGAGTCCTGCTGTACTTCTGATTGATCAACTTCTCTCTGCTCTGCTTGAACGCATGCTGCATAGAGGGGGTGAAGAAAGTGACAGACTACAGGGAATAGGGAAATCATTTTATGACATTCAAATGTTTCCATATCGGAACTTTTCTCTCTCTCTCTCTCACTCACTCTCTGTTTTGTAACAGGTGAGATATTGTTTCTTCTGCTGCCTACTTGTCTTCCTCTCATTACAGAAAAGGATCTTGTTATGAGGATGTTGCAGACTGCAACAGCCAACCTACAACTGGAGCCCCAGTCCTTGAGCACAAGCATGGAGCAGAGGCTTCAGTCCCAGACTGCAATGGGCCTGTCCTCCAGAGGGCAACACTTGGGAAGCAATCATCCAATCAGGTTCTGTCATAAAAATTATTCAATAGGATGTTCACAGTGTGACAGAGAACTGAAACATTTCACTTACTGAGAGCTGGAGACATGCTGGGTACATTAGCCTGCATGTACAGCAGCAAGAGGCGAGAAAGAGACTGTTACACAGAAAGAGATTAATCAAGCAAGCAATAAAACTGATTTTGTCCACCTTCTAACTCCCCCTCTCCCCCTGCCTCACCCCCATTTAACTGGTTTAACTGAGGACCTGATCCAAAGCACATTTAAGTCAATGGCATGGTTTGCAGTCACTGCTCAATGGGGGCCCATTATTTCAGTAGCACATGCGTCAGAGATTAAGGTGAACTAGTAAAATTGTGCAGGGGCTTGGATTTCAGTCCTTCTATGTGGACTTCCAGTCAATAGCATGAGCAGAGTAACTAGAAAATAAAAATACACCTGAACACAGGAAGTGAATGGCAAAGTGACAGACTAATGCAACCCTTCATTTTCATGACTACCAGGTTTATTCAAAATTTAGAATTTTAGATTGAGAAAAATATTTAGCTTTCTCTGCATTTCTTTATAACAGATTGTCTCAGAGCCAGAAGCAAGAATCCATTCCAGAGGAAGACAAGCCAGGTAAAACTATTATATTAAATAAATACTTTGTATTTATTACATAATCCCTTCAAATCCCAGGGTCTTAAGACATTTTATAAACTTTAATTAAGCAGCAACAGACCTTTGAGCTAGGGAAGTATTTTACCCATTTTATGGATGATGCCTTAGAGAAGTGAAGTGATTTGCCAAGAGTCACACAGTGAGCAAATGGCAGAGCTAAGAATAGAAACCAAGAGGTCCTGGCTCCCAGTACAATGCTCTAACCACTTGATCAGACTTTCTGAACATTCACACTTTACTATGAGAGCAAGACTATACTACATATAGACAAATAAATGACAAATTCCTTGCAGGCTATATTTTGGTAACACAGAGTAGGAATTCAGGTAGCCTTTTTGTGGTTACCTCTGAGTGAACAGTAATGCATTCCCTGTGAAAGTTTTCAATCTGGCAGGGATTTGGGCATGGGATCAGGATAGAATTTCATCCTTAGTTTTGCGGTGAAAATTCTGTTAAGTAAATAAAAGAAGATTTTACCCAATGATACATCTGTGCCAGTAGAAATAAGTAAACTAGATTTTTAAAGCGTAAAATATGTTGCAACTTGCCATTCTCCTGAGCTACAGTTTTCAAAAAACAAAATACTGTATTCAAATCCAAATAAGCAAACCTGGCACTTCCTCCAAAGTTCAGTTGTTCCAAATCTTGGGGTTTATCAAAATGAACTCTGCTATGAGCAATTTTTGTCTGTCTTTTCTAGCTAAATAAAGTGTATTGTTATAACCAGCAAAAACAGTGGGAAACATTTTCAAAAACTCTTGAGACTTCCGAGCCTACCTCCCATTTTCAAAAGTGATTTAGGCATTTATAAGACTACATCTCTTAGATCCAGATTTTTAAAAATATTTAGATGCTTCAAGATGCAAATAAGCACCCAGTTGCAATTTTAAAAGTGGCTAAGTACCTAACTCCCATTGATTTCAATGGGAGACAGGCACCTAGTAGGATTTTCAAAAGCCCCTAGACACCTATCTACTTTTGTAGGTGCCTAAATACCTTAAAAATCTGGCCTTTGGGCACTGAAAATGTTACCCACATGGGCGAGGCATTAACTGCTCTGTGAAATTATAACTGGTGTTGACCCACATTGACCCATCCCAAATTATTTTTAATTTTTAGTGCATATGGGTACTGCAGAAGTTCTCCAGTTCCATTTATCCCAGGATGTAAAGCAGAACCAGCCAGATCCACCCAATTAACTTGGAATCTTCTCTCATTCCTGATGGAAGAGCCTCAAGAAGTGCTAGCACATTTCCTGCTATAGCTGCAGTGTTTTACTCTCATTACTCACCTAGTGAAAAAGTGTTCTGTAGAGTACATGAAAAGGCATGCAATATCCTGTATCACCTAATTCCTCTCTTCACTTTGACATTGTATGTTGAGTCGTGGCAAATTTAAACAGAATTTGTTTAATGACTGTGCCATAGACATTAAGTCATACTGTAAAATGGGTCTCTGTGAAATTCCAAAAGTCCCCATAGCTGTAGATGCTTAAAGTACTGCTTCTGCTATGATCCAGCTGGGTATTTGGTTCAATATGCAGAATCACAAAGAGAATGTGGCTGTGTTTTTCCAATGATCTCAGATGCAGGAGGTGCATGGTCCATGGGGTGGGTTGACTCGCTGCTTGAAAGATTGGCCGTTAAACATTTCAGTCCTTCCTCTCAGATCCCGTGGGTACCGCTGAGCAATTGCTCGCCATTCCAAAGGACTCAAATCAGTCCTGTCAGTGCTTTTTTAAAGCCACTGGAGGAGACAAAGCCATTCTGGGTAGTAGAACCAACACACCCCCCATTTAAAAAAAAAAGGGGGGGGAAGGGGGAGAAAAAACCCCAAAAACAGAACTCCCTATAAAAATCGGGGCATCTGGTCACCCTAGTGGGCCCCCATGGGGGCAAAGGAGCATGGCATGGGGAGGTCGGTCCCCAGAGCAAGGGGCCAGCCAGGGGCAATGGGGCATAGCATGGTGAGGCCAGCCCCGCTCCACCCAGCCCAGTGCAAGGGCACTGTATACAAACCGCAGTTGCCAGATGCACACTGGCCCACCCACCCCTATGCTGCCAGCATGCCCCTTCCCCTCAGGGGTGGGCCCATGCCATGCCACACAGCCCCCGACTCCCTATGCCCAGCGTCCCCCAGAACTGCTATGTCCAGCAGCCCTCACACACAGACGCTCCCTCCACCACAAATGCACAGCGGCCTGCACACCACCACCCCTGCCCAGCACCCCCACACACAGCCACACCACTACTGCCCAATGCACTTCCCCACAGCCCACCACCACAACTACACAGCACTCCCACTCAGAGCCCCCACTGCCCAGCATCCCAACACACAGACCTCCCCCACCGTCCCCCAAGAGACCCCCCCACTGGCCAGCAGCCCCACACACACCTCCAGAGACCCACTCCCTCACACCCTGCCCCCTGGCCACACTCACCAGCCTTGCTGGAAGGTGACAGCGTCTGCCAGGCTGAGCTGGCAGCATGGCCAGGGCCAGTCCAGTGCCAGGGCAGGGAATCACTCCGGCCTCTCGGGAGTGGTGCGATTAGCCAGGCCAGGGTCTGCCCCCACCCTGGCCGGACTCCCTCAGGACCCACTTGCCTGGAGATAAGTTGCCTGGAGATAGGATGACCATATGTCCCCATTTGGCCAGGACAGTTCCCTTTTTAAACTCTGTCCCAGCCATCCTGACTTTTTTGACAAAAACGGGCATTTATCCCGTTTGCTCTTTGGCAAGAGCAAATGAACAAATGCCCAGTTTACCAAAAAAGTCTGGTGCGCCCCCCCCCCAGCGGGGCATGGAGGACCCTGTGGGTGGTGAGTGGCGACGCAAGGTGTCAGGCAGCAGGGCTTGGGGGTCAGCCCCAGCCCCAGCCAGAATGGAGCTTGGGGGGGTTAGGGGCCAGCCCCAGCCCCTGGCAGCGGTGTGGGGAGGGTGTCAGCCCCAGCTCCTGGCAGTGGTGCGGGGAGCTGGGGCAAGGGAGGTCAGCCCCTGTCCTGGCAGCAGCATGGGGAGCTCGGGGAGAGGGGGTCAGCCCCTGACTGCGGCGTGGGGAGCTGTGGGGGAGGGGTCAGCCCCAGTGGCAGATTTAGAGTTAGTGGGGCCCTGTGCTCAGCTTCATTTTTGGGGCCCCTCCTTGGGACCCAGCCAAGAAAAAGAACATTCTCTCTTATCTCCCTCCCACCCCCATTTTTCATTCTTTTTTTCTTCATCCTCCTCCTATAAGTAATAGCAAGTAAATGAAAATAAAGTGAGGTACCTTGATTGTTTTTGTAGTCTAACTTATTTTTCCAGAGACCACTTGAAAATCGCTGAGGGTCTCAGCAGACCACTTAATGATCTTTCCAAATATTGTTTGTACCATTAGCTAACTACTGTAAAGCGCTTTGTATAAGAGCGCTTTATAAAAAAAAAAAGTAAAAAAACATTGGGGTGCAGGGTCGGGCCAGACTTAGGGTGCAGGAGGGGGCTCAGGGCTGGAGGTGCAGGGTCTGGGAGGGAGTTCGGGTGCAGGATCAGGCTGGGGGTTGGGGTGCAGGGTCTGGCCCGGAGTTAGGGTGAGGGAGGAGGCTCAGAGTTGGGGCAGGAAGTTGGGGTGTGGAGCGCTGACCTGGGGCAGCTCCCATTTAGTGCGAGGGGTGCAGGTGGGGATGTGGGGGGTGCAGGAGTCAGGGAGGGCAGGAGGCTGGGAGTGTGTGAGAGGGCTGCAGGAGTCAGGATTGTGTGTGTGAGAGGGGTGCGGGAGTCAGGGCTGTGTTTGTGTGAGAGGGGTGAAGGAGTCAGGGCTGGGGGTGCAGGGTCTGGGAGGGAGTTAGGATGCAGGAGGGGGCTCAGGGTTGGGACAGGAGGTTGGAGTGTGGAGCGCTTACCTGGGGCAGCTCCTGTTTGGTGCGAGGGGTGGGGATATGGGGGGGGTGCAGGAGTCAGGGCAGGGGGCTGGAGGTGTGAGGGCGCTCCCAGCCCCCTGCCGTGAGTGGCTTATGGCAGGAGGCTGGAGGGGATGTCTGTAGGGGAGTGCGGGGGCCCCGCCTTTGCTCAGCCTTGCCCTTATTCCACCCCCGCTCCCCAAGGCCCTGCCCCCGCCTCTTCTCCGCCTCCTCGCCTGAGCATGCTGAGGCCTCACTCCTCCCCCCTACCTCCACCCCTACACCAGAAAACAGCTGTTCGGTGGTGAGGAAGCGCTGGAAGTGGGAGGGGCGGGAACACGGCACGCTCGGGGGGAAGAGGTGAGGAAGGAGGGAGCTTGGGTGCCGCTGGGTGTGGGTGGAGCCTGCCCTGCAGCAGGAGCCCCAGGAGCTGGCAGGACCAAGCTTCTGCCCCTGCAGGAGAGAGCGGTAGGAGGGGGGGCGGAAAAGAGCTGGAGGTGCCTTACTGCAGCCCAAGCAGAGTGGGCCAGGCCAGAGCCCCTTTGGAGCCTGGGCCAGGCGCCATGGTAAACTCAGTATTGAGGGCCACTGCAGCCAGAGCAGAAACTGGAGATGTTGAGAGGCTTAATTAGGGTTTCTGACGTGCTTAGGTGAAAGGTGCCATAACACTATAATGTTGTATTACCATTTCATGTTGCCACCGAGATTTCAAGTATCAGAGGGGTAGCTGTGTTAGTTTGTATCCACAAAAACAACAAGGAGTCCGGTGGCATCTTAAAGACTAACAGATTTATTTGGGCATAAACTTTTGTGGGTAAAAAACTACTTCTTCAGATGCATGGAGTGAAAATTACAGATACATATACTGGCACATGAAGAGAAGAGAGTTACCTTACAAGTGGAGAACCAGTGATGACAAGGCTAATTCAATCAGGGTGGATGTTGTCCACTCACAATAATTGATGTGGAGGTATCAATACCAAGAGAAAGGAAATTGCTTGTGTAGTGAGCCAGCCACTCCCAGTCCCTGTTCAAGCGCAAATTAATGGTGTTAAGTTTGCAAATGAATTGTAGAGCTACAGAAGCTCCTCACAAGATTTCAAATTACTGCAAGCATTTGCACCGGAATATCATGGATATTGGAGATTTTTGCCACAGAGCTTCTGTCCAGTGGCCACAACAAGAAAGTAAGCTGGGTCTGGTATTCTATGCACATGCAGAGAATTCAATAACAAGCTGCTCATTAACAAGTTGAGGTGCTTTATTGTTGTCCGTGCGTCTCTTCAGTGCAACTCTATTTCTTAATAAAAGTAGTGTTCTAAATCAGAATCACATTAGTTGGCTTTTCGGGAGACAGGAGCAAATCTACAAAGGAATACAATCGTACTGCATGTAACACTTGTACAATACCAAGTCAATCTAGTGCCCAGTACTATAGAGGTCTGAGATATTGAACTTCTGCCATCCAAAGCCCATAGACCAAACCATTAGAATCCTCTGCCCCACAAACCAGTCAGTCCAGTCTCCAGCCACATTGTGTGCGTGTATGCACCAAAGTGATGTGCTGGTCTGTAATATGTTTCCTTGCCTCAAACACAGGTTACATGGAAATGAATGAATGAACAGGCATCCCACACCTGGCTGTGTACTAAAACAGCTTCTGAGTGCACTAAGTGACTCCAAACATGGTGCAGAAAAGGACAATGGTTCTGAGAGGAATGGGAGCTGATGGGATGGGAGATGAGATCATTGCATGACCATCCATTCCATGAAGCAAGCTAAGCACCATTACACCTTACTGTGAAAGATCGGAATTGGAATTTTAAAGATCTCGTATGTTATTTAAAAGTGGTTTGCCAGCAGAGCTAGGCATAAGCAGACTAAGCAATTGCTCAGCACCCTGAGCGGCTCAAGGGGGCCCCCTTAGTCACTTTTTAGTATGTGTTGGGGGGCAAAATATTCCTGCTTAGGGCCCCTAATGGACTAACACCGCCTTTGTAATAATTGCCAGATTTGTTGCTTTTTACATATATGTCACCTTTCACTGAAGAGCTCAAAGTGCTCTGCAAAACTTCAAAACACCCTTGTGAGGTGGGTGAGTTTTATGCCATTTTACAGGAAGGGAAACTCAGTCTACACTGAGCTTTTAGCTACCAGTTTCAAAAGCAGGGTAAGCTGCAAATGGCATTGCACCAATGTAAACTGTGCGTGCACTATGGATTTGCACTAGTGCAGCTGCACCAATGGCTAAAGTCCCAATATAGACAAGCCCTAAATAACTAGCTCAGTGAGTCCGTGGCAGAGCTAGGAATAATGTCATGGAGTAGGATTCAGTAGGACTCAAGTCCTATTTTGTATATGGGCAATCTGTGAGGAACTAGGCACGACCAGTTCATCACCCCATAATCTATGTTAAGAGTTTATAAATAAACTAGGTCAAACCTTTCTTCACAAAAATCCTGTTAGAGCTCTTGTTTTTCCCTCCTTTCCCTGGCTGCACTACACTTCCTTCCCCTGCTAACACATCTGACTGAAATGTAAGACCCTGTGAAATGCGAGGCACACAGTACTTGATATAGTCAGACAAGCTCCTGAGAGGGCAAGTGGGTCAGCAGGAGAAATGGGGCTGGTAAGTGAGCATTCTTTGATCTCTAGCCAGATCCTTCATGCACTGCAAGATTCAGTCTTTAGTTATCTTTCCTCTCCAGCGGTCATTACTCTCTCTGCATACAAATCCCTCCCTAAAACCCATTTCAGTTGTGACTCAAAGATGCAAACTGATTAAGGCCCCTCTGAATTGGGTTCTTGGAAATTATACGTCATACACAAATATTTAATTTCACAGTAGTAGCCATGTTAGTCTGTATTCGCAAAAAGAAAAGGAGTATTTGTGGCACCTTAGAGAC